GAAAATGACATTTTTAGATATCCTGTATATTGTCTGCAAACCTTGTATATTGTCTGCAGACCTCTTATACGTAAAAATAAAAATTTCTTATAAAAAAGACATAAAACTAAAAACATTGGTTTGTTCCTAATGAGCTGACAACTAATATTTCTTTTTCTTTCTTTTAAAATGGGCTGACATTTTATGAATTCCTAATAAACGTTACCTAAAATGAATTTTGGTTTGAGTCAAAAGACATAAACATGTGGTTTAGATCATTCTAAATAGTTGACCTTTCCTCTATTGGAGACAGTCACGTACTGTTATGGCAATCTTTAACACATAAAGTCAGAGATGTTTGACTTTAATTTATTGTGAGCAAATTAATTTTGATCATTTGCATATCCCACATTCAGATGTGGAAAGAACAAATACTACTAGTACTTAAAATTATTCTTGTTCAGATCTATATGCAATATATCTAGTATTCATATGTTTATAAAGATTTCAGAAGTCTTAATTTAATAAAAATAACTGGGCTTATCCTAAGAGCTTGACATTTTTAATTTATATTTTTATTTATAATGTTAATCTGTTTTTGCCAAAAAGGAAGTAGAGAGACTTGTTCTTACCACTGTTTTAAAAGGCTTTTCTGGGACTCGTTTCGGGGCTCGCCCTGGGGCGGGGCACTATCAAAACGCCTTAAGACTCATGCATGGGGCTTAGTTCTCTGAGGCTTACACTCCCAAGCGCCCGGCGGTGCGCCCTAAACACGCCTAACGCTCAACGCTCGGGACTCGCCCAATAATTCCTAAGCAAATCATTTGTTCAATTCACTAATTTGCACTATTAACTCTCAAAATTCTTTAATAAATGAATGATTAAAGTTCTTTTTATCTATAGAAATATGAAAAAAAATGTGAATAACTCAAATAATGAACATATTATTGCATATTTATTAATTGATAACATCGTGAGGGTGAATATCATTTAAATATTTCTTCTAAAAATAGATAAGCAAAATTTATATCTTTACTTGATAGATCTGCAACAGTCCACCCCGCTAGTGATATTGTCCTCTCTGCGCCTAGGCACTCACGGGTTTAAAATGTGTCACTAGAGTCTCAGGAATATCTACTAATATACCCAACATCTCTCACGTGTTTTGTCTATGTGGGATTTGTCTAGGGTGTCACATACACCCCCCTCCCCCTTAGGGACTCAGCGTCCTCGCTGATGTTTACCCCACCACTGTTCAAGGTTGCACGTGGAGTGGCTCTGATACCATATGTAACAGCCCAGCCCGCTAGTGATATTATCCGCTATGGACCTAGACTCTCACGGGTTTAAAACATGTCACTAGAGTCTAAGACATATCTACTTATATACCCAGCATCTCTCCCGTATTTTATCGATGTGGGATTTGCCTAGGGTGTCACAAGATCTTCATGTCTTAGTTCTATGTCTCTCAGAATTATATATTTTTTATTTTACTATTAAAAGTTTTTTTATATTTACTCATGAAGGAGTAATATTTTAAATTACAGTATTGAAAAATTTATTGTGTATTTACGTTTAAAGAGGTAAAATATGCAATTTGATAACATTTTTTAAGAAATTATAATTTTAATTGTTTGAAAGTTAAGAGTTGGAGTTAATCTATATTTCATAGTAACTTTAACAGTATTGTATTATTTATACTTATAAAATATGCTAAATATTATTTTATATGAGTTTCTTTAATTCATTTTAGTTTTCTTGAACTTTTAATGCATCTTTTATATTTTATCGTGTTATAATGCTATATCATTAATTTATAAACTTAAAAAATTAAAAATCTGTGGGGCTTACGCCCCATGTCTCGAGGCTTTCGCCTCGGCCCATATTAAATAAAATGCCCCGCCTCACGCCCTCACCTTTTAAAACTTTGGTTCTTACTATAATGTCAATATAGAGTAAGAACAAGTGGAAAAGTCATTATGCTTCGAGTTGGCCACCTTCCAAGCATTTGGATGCACACACTCACGAAGTGCATTAATTTATATTCCCCAATGTAGTATGAAAATAATATGTTCCATGTGATCAAGCTCGAATTTTCTTGTTTAATGGAAGTGATTTATTTGTCAAATGTAATACTCCTTCCGTTCACTTTTTACTTGTCCACTTTCGCATATCAAGAGAAAAATATTTTATTTTTCACGTTTTGCCCTTAGTATTAATTACTCTTTCTCAATCATTTTTCAAATCCAATAAGACTATACATCCATTAATATGAGTATCATGATAAATTATGTACTTTATTTATTATTTCTTAAGAAATGTGAAAAGTCAAAATGCGACAAGTAAAAGTAAACGGATGGAGTAGTTGTTTTGCTTTGACTCTAAAAACAAAACTTCTTTTCACAGCTTTAACAGAACTACTAAAAACAAGATTCACAAACTTCTTTTTAACAGCTCTTTTATTTTTTTGTACATCCACCGAACCATTGTCCAAATGCCCACAAAGATAATTTGTTACACTCCATATTAAATGAATAGAGTTTGACTAAAAAAGCCTTCTCAATTGATTTTACAAGATGAGAAAGGAATCTTCAATCTGGTTCATAAAAAGTTCCCTCTCCTTTTCCCGTTGTTTGGACCAGTGAATATCACCGTGGCAAAATGGATAAAAAAAAGAAGAAGCCACTATTCATTCATATTATCCACTAAAAAATTGGTCAAAAATAAAATTCATATTATCCACTTAAAAAAAGAATAACAAATGCATAACCAATGAATTTAATTTTTACATTTATAAAAACTCAAGTTTGGGAGACTTGGCGGTCGTTTGGACATAAGAATTGCGAAATTCCGGNGGAACTTGTTTTGAATTTTTGTGAGTAATTTGAAGTAAAATTTTGAAAAACTTTTTTGGAGTTTTGCAAATTTCGAAAAATTCTGAAAGTTAACTTCAAGTAAAATTTGAAATTCTCATGGCCAAACACTATTCCCAAAAAATGTAAAAAAAAAAAATCATGAAAGATAAGTGAATTTTCTTTATGGCCAAACGGACTCTAGGAATTCCCCCAAAAATGATCATATATGCAGGTTAACTCATTTCCTATCCGTATTAAATATGGATCAGGTCGGATAATTTATCCCTTTTGTATTACCCATTTTCAACCAGCCTATATTCGACCCGGCCATTTGCCACCCTAATTACAGTTTTAAATATATTTGACCCAACCCGACCGTTTGCCGCCCTAATTACAGTTTTAAATTAAAAAAAATAGGAGCGGCTTGGTTACAGGAATTGGGGTTATCTCAGTATAAAATTTAATATTTATTTTTATCTAGTGTCTAGTTGTGCATATTAGGTAAAACCAAAATAAAATTTATACCAAAATCATAGAATTATTATCCCATAGCGAAAGAGAATTATAATACCATGGTTATAATACGAGGGAACCAAAATTATAATCCTAGAATCACCTGATTTCGAACTACATGACCCTAATTAGCTAAGCAATGACGCAGAGCAAAGCTCATTAACTAGATTACATTATATTCCCCATGTAGTATATATATATATCCAGCTAGAATTTTCTTGTTTAATGGAAGTGACTTATCATGCTTTGACTCTAACTCAGCTTTAACAAAACTACAAAAAACAAGTTCCACAGACTTCTTAACAACTCTTTTTCTTTTTTCAACGTCCACCGAGCCATTGTCCAAATTCCTACAAAGACAATTAGTTACACTCCAAATTAAATGAAGTCTAGAGCTTGACTTAAAAACAAGGACCCAAAAAAGCCTTAACAATTGATTTGACAAAATGAGAAAGTAACTAGTTATTGTCACGTGATCAGAAGGTCACGGGTTCGAGCCGTGGAAACAGGCTCTTGTAGAAATGCAGAGTAAGACTGCGTACAATAGACCCTTGTAGTCCGGCCTTTCCCCGAACCTCGCGCATAGTAGGAGCTTAGTGCACCGGGCTGCCTTTTGGAAAGGAATTTTGAATCTCCTTTCTTCTCTTTTTTGTCGTTTTAAAGGAGAAAAATAATTGGAATATAGCTCAAATGAGTATAAGAAATACACAGTACACTTTTAAACTCCAGGAGATGGTGTATTTCAGCTCTTTATGGCTGGAAACAGCTCAATAATTTCTCTTGTTCTTTTATTTTAAGGAGGAAAATAAGAACTTTATCATATTCAATATGGTGTTGCTCTAACCATACAATTCAAAATTGAAACGTTGGTCAATTGATGAACAATCAGGTAAGTCTTACTAAACGCCACATTTTAATATACACTAAGAAAATTGAAGAACTCATCTTCAAGACTTGAGATTTGAGAATGAGATAAAACTCCAAATAAAAAGACCATTGAACCATTTCGATGTCAGTCATAGACTACTAATGCTCTGGTATAAATTTGATGACTGGTTCAGTAAATGACTATGGCAAAGTACTAAACCAAGTATATCGAAAAGTGGACTTTCTAAAAAAATTATGGATGACAAAGCTTTAGGATATAGAGTAGCAAAATCTACTTTCTCAAAACATATATGGATGAAAAAGCTTTGAACAATCAGGTCTTGCTTCCCTCAAGTCTCTATTTTCTTCTTTTTCCCAGAAGAATATTTGCCTTTGAGCTTTGAAACTATCTATCACTTATATAACCCAAAAAAGAAAACCACCCACAACCAAAAATTTAAAGTTCTTACTTATAATCCCTGAACATATGCTGATTGTTGGCACTCTTAACAAGTCTGATATGGGGTTACACAAGTACATTTTATATTTACTAATAGAATGAAAAATTTATACGGGGAAGAACATATGTAATGTATCTGAAATTTTCATTGTTAGGAAGGTGAACATTATTTCAACGCAAAATCACAAACTAAAAACTAAAGGAAGCTATTCATTATCTACAGCCCTTATGTCTATATTTCCATCAACATGTACTCTGTGCTCTGTGGAACACTGAGTAATTACAAACAACAACAACAAAGAGGTTGTTTCCGATACACTGAGTAATTACATAATAAAAAAGCCTCTTAATTCAGCTAATTACTTTACACGATACAACTTGATGGCGTAAACTAGGTGGTATGTACAGGTCTATGCCTAATGTAATTTCTCTAACCTCAAGACAACCGATTAATTCTATGAGTGTGAGTATCCCAATGAGAAGAATAGCCTGCTCCATTCAATAATGATCCTTATACAACTTCGACCAATATGAAACTAATGCACTTCTCTGCCTCCTCAAAATGACTAAATGGGAGAGAGTAAAAGTTTACATCTTTGAGAAATCACCGCAGAAGGATATGGAAAGAAGAAAAAGCTCAATTGAGGCAACAATTAAAGTAATCTGGTTATCCAAGATCCAGTCTTCTGCATTTCGTTCATTTTCCAACAAAGTGGCAAACATTTGGAGCTTACTTATGAAATCTAAAAGATTTAAATAGCTTACAGAATGTATGAAGTTAAAATAAACTTACATTCAAGGGCTTAAAGAGGAACTGACCCATAGAAAACTACCTCTGCTGGCCCTGTCATGTATATATGGTTGTCTTTCTCATTCCACTCAATGTCCAGAGGCCCACCAGGCAAATCAACAGTACACCGCTATTACCAGAATGGGAAAGGGCAATAATCAAAAGGAGTAATCAATAACGAAAATAAATATATGGGACAGATACAAATAGACATACTTGACATGATTTTCATTTTTACAACATTAACCTATAAAGTTATCAACTTCTTACCCTTGCAGCACGACCCTCAAGCACTGCTGCAACAACTACGGCACAAGCTCCTGTCCCGCAGGCTAGTGTCGCACCTATACTCGCCAAGGTTAAATACACAGTTATATTTAATAGATAACTTGGCCTACCTAATACATCAATTATTTGTCAGTTAAAGTGTTAAAGGTCTATTTTTGTGTTCATAAAACAAACCTGCGCCACGCTCCCAGACACGCATTTTAAGGTGTGTTGGGGAGAAGACTTGTACAAATTCTGCAAATCAAACAAATATGTCATATGTAAATAAAATTGTCGGAAAAATTCTGATCAAATAGTTATAACATGCGTGCAAACCTAGACTTAAGTGTTATCTTTCTTTATCTATATCAATGGCAGCAAGTACATGAAATTACAGTAATTGAGTGGACTCTAGATCAGGGAGCTACATCTTGAACATAAATGACAAACTTGACAATTACTTGAGTTGATTCCCGTTATAGCTTAAAATGATGCCAGAAGTGCACCTTAAGTGCAGATCCAACTCAAGAAAGTGCTAACAGAACGGATGATGCATGCTGAATGAAAACTACGCAATCACTTTATGATCGTAAATGATAATCGAGTTCAATAACCATAAATGGCTTGCCAAAGTAGTAGTAGAGAACCAAACTGATCAACCAAAAACAGAATTTCAGGTATATAACAGAAACCAATTCTGCTACATTTAGTTTAAAGATCCCAAAGGAAAGAACAATAATGTTAAAAAACCAGGGATCCATGACCCCTAGATTTAGGAAATTCCAAAGGAAAAATCATGCTAGTTCAATAAAGACAAAGATGAGATAGAGCCACCAAAAATTCTTGTTGTGAGATTCAAAATCTTTTTATAACAAGAAAATAACAAGGTTGTCGTGAAGATCATACTCCTGCATTATTAAAGAGGCTAAAGTTCCCAAACTGATAGATTTAAACTGACCTGTGTTAGTGCGAGCAGGGAACATCACATGATGTTCAAATTTTGGACCAATGTCTGCTAAATTCAATTCATCTACTTGCAAATCCTGTTGCATGATAAACAGAAAAAGGGAAAGCAATCAAGCCCAGAAAATGAGAGGGAGACACAAGATTGCCAAATATTTCTGTTCTCTATTTCTGCACAAGCAGAAGCATACTGTCAATTAACGAAAGAATACATGAGATAACCACTAAATTCCTCGAATATGAAAATGAAATGACTAGATTTCACGGGGGAAAAATGAAATGAATATTCAAAGAATACTGTAATCCGATTCAGCTTAAGAAAATAACAGAACAATTGACTTGATTTCTTAGATATATGAGATTTTTAAGAAGCTGATTAACAGAGTGAAAAGTTTGGTACAATGTTTACCGTAACATTCTTCAGTTGTTTATTTCGTAGAATAGCTTATTGAATCCTTTAAGAATAACAACATTTTTTACTTATAACAAGTCGTAAAAACAATGGTACCACTATCAGCCTTTGGTACCAAAGAAATGATACAAATTAGAATTAATCCAAAGAAGAATACCTGGTTTTGTGATGTACCAAAAGTGACACAATGAGGATTTCCCATGCTGATACAGGTGACGTTCCAAGCACTTCCATCTAAATCTAGTCTTGCTTTAACAACAGATTGATCTTTATTAGGGGGTAGTTTCGTGGGCACATCTGATGCCTTCAGAATGGGTTCACCCATGTCAACCCTAACCTGAAATTCGAAGCAAATATTAAATCTGAAGAAAAAGGTAAACGCATGTAATTGCTTTACTATTTAATGCAAAGTAAATAAATCATTAAAGGAAGAATAAAACAATAATACTGAATGCTTATAGCATGCAGTAGTTCCTACAATCAGTCAATCAATAGTCGGGTTGGCTATGTGATCTTACACGTCCAATCTGCTCAATCCACGCAATAGCGCTTTAGTCTACTTAAATGGATGAGAAAAATGGATCTACCTTTCCATCTTCTTGAATCTCAGGAACAATAAGTCCAGCCCCTGTATGTATGGTGAAACTACAAGATTAAAAAGACATGACAGCCAATCAGAATCCACACTATTTACGAAAACCATATTCATCAGATGCAATCAAATTCTATTATCAAATTTAGGCATATAACAGAATAGGTGGGCCATAACAATCATATTGACAGTTAATCAAACCTATCAATTATCAGAATCTAATTAAGCGCACTGAAAAACAAGGTGCAACCAAAGATTTTTATCACCTTTAACTTTATGCAGAAACTTGTTTGGATCAGTAGTCATATTTATGCAACTGGTAAAATTACAGCTGGCCAGAGATACTTTTGTTTTTTGATTATGGATAGATGCATAAACCATCCAAGCCACTAAAATATATTCATGTATATGGTCATTGAGACATTAACCAAAATATCATCTGGTGTTTAGGAGTTCTAATACAGCATTCATGATACTACTTTAATAGCCAAAGTACAGAAAATATTTTATTAATAATAAAAAAAAAACTTAAACAGAAGAAGAATTTTTGAAAAATTAAATCCACAATAGCTTTCAAAGTCCGACAAGAATAAGAAATGGTGTTACGGATACTCCATCCACAAATTCTCTATCAAGGGGTATGCCAAGTCCTACTAGAATAAGAAATGGTGTTACGGATACTCCATCCACAAATTCTCTATCAAGCGGTAAGCAAAGTCCTACAGGAATAAGAAATGGTGTAATGGCTACACCATCAACAAATTCTCTATCAAGGGGTATGCCAAGTCCTACTAGAATAAGAAATGGTGTTACGGATACTCCATCCACAAATTCTCTATCAAGGGGTATGCCAAGTCCTACTAGAATAAGAAATGGTGTTACGGGTACAATACCTAATAATGCTTGCATTATGCCTTCAAGTTTGAGTTTTGCTGCCGATGCGAGAAGAGGAAAAGCTGGGGAGAATCGTGTCATTGATGCACATGAACTGAGGCTGCTGAATAATCGGCAAATTCAATGGCGATTGGCCAGCGCTAGAGCCGAAGCTGCTCTAATGGCGCAAACAGAGACATCAGAGGTAATGGTTTTCTAGTATGCCACTGGTTCTCTAGATGTTGGTTAAAAACGGGTCTATTGTACAATTTTTTATTCAATAGTTCACAAAGATACTGAATATGCAGCATCATCTTGGAATTTACTATTGGTTGCCAATCTTTGCATCGAGTATAAATGTGGAAAAGCTATAAATTCTTAAAACCCCAAACAAATAAACTCTGACTATGGTTCTCTGAATGGTGTACTGTGCTTGACTGGTTGGAAGAGTGAGGATTGGAGGAATGAATTAAAAAAGAGTAATGGTTGTTTTCTTGGTCTATTTGGAAGTAATGTTGAGAGGTATGCAACTCTTGCGGTGTTTCACTCCGTTTCCCTTTATACCTAACAATTGAGGTTTACCAATGAGTTTCTCTCTCCTTTACCATGACCCTCATTTTCATGGTACCAAACATAGAATGTGTAGCTTGAAGGTCTCGAAGGCATCCATATTTGCTGAACGACATTAATGTTAAACCAAGCTGTCAGTGACTGCTACTTATAGAGGTGTAAAAGTTTGTGACAGATAAAAGAATTAGTTTCTTCAGACATCTGAAAGTTAATGAGAATATGGGCGAGGATTGTATGTTAGGAACTCAATTTATGATTTGACAGAAACAAACAAGAAGTTTAATGCACAGGCATATAGCGCATTCTAACCGTAGTGCATGCTTAATTGCGTGAAGAAAAAGAAATATAGTAAAACTTTGGAGGGTTCACTGTGCTGTTTAAGTCATCATGTTGATTGAGAAATCCTTCAATCTGGAGTGGTGAATTGTGGCCGCTTTATGCAGGAGAAGCATGAGAAGTGTCTTGAGCAAGACCTTTTCTTCTCAGTTTCATACATTTGTTTTGTTCTTATGCTTTATTCTTTTTTCTAAAGGTAGAGATTTGGATTGTACCAGTCCAATTTGGAGAGTGACTTCAACTAACTTTTTTGTTTAGAGGAAGGATGTGCACAAGCTCCATAGAATCAAGCCTGTGAACTTAAGGTGCACTGCTAGTAGAAAGATGGGAGCTCTGTTGAATTTTAAAAGATGCGGGAGTTGAGGCTGAGATGGTTCGGGCACGTGAGGCTGGGATGTGGGTAGTTTGTACGCAGACATTACCCCTACCTGGAGAAGTCGAGAGGCTGTTTCTAATTGACTCTCGGCTCAAGAAAAGGTGAAAAGGAAGAGAAGGGACGAACCGACGAAGAAGAAGAAGAAGAAAGAAGAAAGAAAGAAGAGGGAGACAAAAGACAATAAGGAAAAAGTGGAGAAAAAGAGAAGTCGAAAAAAAAAGTAGCATCAAATAGTAACAATCAGGGAAATACGATACACGAAGCGAACAAAACAACAGACAAATACTAGAGAACAAAGAATACGAAAAATACAAGAATGCTACTAATACTACTAGTAAAGAACGGGGAACTCTCGACTACCTACTAGCCTTCTACGCAAATCCTCGACCTCCACACTCTTCTATCCTGGGTCATGTCCTCAGTGAGCTGAAGTAACGCCATGTCCTGCCTAATCACCTCTCCCCAATACTTTTTTGGCCTACCTCTACCTCTTCAACCTCTCACACCCCCTATCATGGGATTATACTTGGTATGTTGTTGTTGTAATAGCTTTCAGAATCCCAAAAGGAAGTACAACATAACGCTAATATGGTGATACATGACAAATATTATGTTAACATAAGAAATACACTGCCATGTATCCTCACCAAAACCTAAGAGAATATGTAAAGACATTGGAGTGGACAGTGGAAATTGTGAACTAAGCGACAACCAGAGATTTCATACGATGACTTGGTACAATCACTACCTCTCTCTAGTATCAGCTCTAGGCATGGTCTAGCTAACATGACTAGGTCTTGACTCTTACGGGTGACCAACAAATCTTTACTTTCTCCCTGTCAGCGTGCATAACGGGCCTGATAATATATCACACTTACCCTTGGCAGTGAATAACAAATAAGAAGAAAAAGTGACACCATCACTTTCTAATATAACTATTGAACATAAAGAATATCTGCTTCGATCACCCAATCTGGCTCTTGTTTGAAGTATTTCTTAAAGTCCACGATGTCACCCTCCCACCGTGTCACAGCCCCATTGTCACATACCCATATATCATCGGCAACTGGGTTGATGAGCCTAAAATCATGACTAACTAGAACCACCCCCACCCCACCCTCCATTCAATGCCTCAGCAAGTGAGTCAACTGTCTCAATATCCAGATGGTAGGTTGGCTCATCTAACAGAAGCATGTGAGGTTGCCTATAAGCCAGCCAAGCAAAAATCACCGGACAATGTTAACCATCTGACAAGTTCTCCATGGGCATTATTTGAGCTTTACTTGTGAGGCCAAACTTCCTAATTGCTGCCCTCTCCCCCTCATCATGTAAGCTGACATTTCCATGTCTAGCTTCCCAGCCGAGTCCTGGTGGTACTGCGCAATTCTAAGGTGATTATGCTTCTTAACCATGCCATCAGTGGGAATTAAATCACATATCATCAACTTAAGCAGTATGCTACTTCCAGCTCCATCAGGCCCCACAACCACAAGTGCCGTCCTGGAGTCGAGATCTACACCAAAATCAAGGTTCTTGTAGATGAGGTTATCATGTCCTGGTTTTCTAGTTTCCTCATGGTCTAGCTAACATGACTAGGTCTACACCAGATTCTACAACCAAATAAGCAAGTTCAAAAAAGCTTCAGTTTATCCAGGAGTTTTCAATACAAAGAAACAAGTAAAAGAAAGTAATTTCTAAAACATAAACCAGGAAATATTTGGCAAATATAGAAGGCTCTATAAAGTACATCACTATATATATAGAATCAGAAAGAATGTAGAGACCTTCGCTTTCCACGGGAGTTCTCAAGCTCAGCTATAAATTTGGCAAGGCATCGAATTCCATTACCACACATCTGTATTTACACAAAGGATATATTGTTAACAACCACAAATTTCAACTCAAATGGAGTGAAAGTTAAAAAAAAAAAAATTAAAAAAAAGAAGAATAACAAAAAGGGCACTTTTTCGTCACTGTATGGATGAAGATACGAATGGTTTATCAGGCTTGCTTTCATTCTATATCGGAGAAGGGAAAGGGAAAAAACATGGACAAAGAAGGAATGACCTAACAACATATTCAAGTGGTTTTCTGTTTCATGAAAATAAAGTCATTCAATCCTGTTTTTATATTCCATCAGAAAAGGGTCATAATTTGCTGCAAACACAATTCTTCTAATCTTTTAAAACCTTTTTCTTTTCGCCAAACATGGAAAGCAATACTGGAAAACAAACATAGGCTGCATCTAAATTCTCATAAGATGAACAATGAAACGGACAAAAGACTATATTCAACACAGATCTCTATATATTGTCTTAGAAATCATTACACGATTGAGGAACAAACCAAAGTAAAGTTGAACAATAACATTCATACAAGCACTATTGCAGGTTTGTCTTCCATTGTGAGCAAACACGGACTCAGCTGAAGTTTCCAGGTGCAAGAGCAGAAGGTATAAGACTTGCATAGATCTTTTCTTTGAGAAAATTGTAAGACTTGCCTAGACCTTGAAATTCGGATCTGAGAAAAGGATAGTCTTTCCACACAGGTGAAATATATGGTGTTTTGCTTCTCTTATATTCAAAATATATAAGTTCCATAAGGTATTAGGTCAGTCCAGATTGACTAGCATATAATCCATTAGTGTTTTGTTTTCCCCCCTAAAAAACTATGTCCTTATTATGCTCTCTTTTCTTTTTCGGAATATGCATTTTCACAGAAGTCCCAAAGGGAGACTGTGAAATAACTAGTTTAGACTTCGCTCATGACAATCCCCAATCCTATAAATATTTTCAGCTCAAGTTCACACTGTGTTCCCTTTTTGTGTTGGGGGGGGGGGGGGGGGGGGGGGTGGCAAAAGTGGAGCATTTGATGTCTTCTCTCTGACTTGAGGATCTGTAGCCTGTTGAATTTTTTTTTGATAAGATAAATTGTATTAATCAAAAGGGAGAGAACTCCCGTATACAGGAAGTATGTAGCCTGTTGATAACAATGGAATGCACAAGCTGGTTGATACTCAGCACCTCTTTGACTGAAATAAATCCAATACCTCAAGTTTCGGACATGCACTCTTCATCAACACCAACCAAAGAAATCAGTAAATAAAAATGGGCATCGTGACTGAATCCTACAGAAGAAAAAATCCTTTAGAATCCAGCTTACCGTCAATCCTAATATAGACACTGGAACTTCCCCTCATACATAAGCATGATCTTTTCTTCATCCTTCACTAAATCCTCCTTAAGCTCCATATACATATTACTCCTATGCTAATTCTGGCTACTCAGCTTTAGTGTATTAGAAAAAGATTGGCTGCTCTTTTTTTAGTATGGTAACCTTAAACCCCCACC